AAGTGTGAGGGCAAAATCATTTGTGAATTGAAAAAATGATAGAGAACTTATCTTTTAACAGATTTCTGATTTTATTTTTATAAATGTAGCATAACATTCAATTATTTGTACAAAATTGTATTATTTAATGAAGTTTAAAGAGGAATTTAATGAAAAAATTCCTACAATACGTTTTAGACTGTAAACAAGTGCCCTCTAAGAAGAAATGTTTTTTTCAAAAATTTTTTTAAGATATTTCCTTTCACCTCAGCACTGGTCCTGCCATCTGTGATTGGTATCTAAACCTTTTTCTAGTCTGTTTTCTTTATAAAACTGCATCTGGGCATGTTAAACCTCAGTTGTAAAACTTTTAGCCAATCCTAGTCGAAAGTGTCAATTTCAGCACCAATTATTCCAATTGCTGTATCTCCCATTTGACAAATCATAGGATGATAAGGAAAGCACGTGATGAAACGTTGTTCTCTGGATTTTACAATATGAATGTGGGTGGTGCTTATTATAGTCACTGCCATTTTATGTAGAGGTTGTATTTAGTACTGGCCAATAGGGCTTTTCTATAGCGTTAGAAAAGTTGCTTCTGGAAAAACTGCATGGGATATACATGACTTTTATTTTTTTTATATAGTAGCTTAAGTCATGCTGCATGGTATATCTGTTTATATTAATCATTATATTGAAAAATTAACTCAAAATAGATATATTTTTTAGGAAAGAAGTTGATCCACGATTGTTAGGGTTAAGAGCTATCGACTGGCGAGTGCAAGGTCTTTACATGACCTAGGCTTAGGACTTTGAACTGAAAGAGTTTGTGATTTTTTATATCTTTTGCATTTAAATTTGTAGTTTTAAGTTAAATAATTTAGTGTAATTTTATATTTAGTTCATAATAATAATAATAATAATAATATGATTCAGTATTTAGAATGATAAACTTGTGTGATTTGTATGTAATACTACTAGTACCAGTACCACATAAAAATTTTATTTTTCCTTCTTACAATCTTTACTTTGTAGTAAGTTTGTTTTTTTTAATTTCACGGAAAGCTACACAAGGGCTATCTGCTAAATTGGACAGTGGTTACAATTTTACTACACAAAAGTTTGTAAATGAAACTTATCTAAATGTTGAGGTTCTAATACGATAATCACTCAGTGGTTCAAATTTAATGAATAATATTTTGTTGTTGAGTTTTATATTTCACTACTGAAGTTTCCAGTAAATGTAACATGATGAAATATATAAATCATGATTTCTTTGCTTTATTCTTGTATGAAACCAACGTTGACACATAGATAAAACTTGCTTAACCCTACGAATGCAGGTAGATCAAACTGCTCATTTCACATCCTTTTTACAGAGGTACATTCAAAATTTAATTGAATTACATTGCCATCAATTTACGTTAATAAACTTGGCATCAAAATGCAACTAATAATTCAAATTTTTGTAGTATCTAAATTTTGATTTATTAATTTCAAAGGGAAATATTTAAATAAACTATCAATCTTCACTTCTCTGTATTTTATTACATTTTTTTGTTCCAAATTGCCTATTTTAGATATTCTTTTTACCCCTATTTGAGTTTAACACAAAAATACAGTTATATTATAGATATTACTAAGACATAACCTAAAATTATAGTCTCCAATCTTCTTGATTTACTGAAATATAAATCAATAAGCCAAACCTACATGCAATGCCCGACTATAACACCCTGTCTTTCAAATTTTTTTAATAATTCTGTCTGACATATCTCATTCGATTATTTATTACCAGTAGAAAGAGAAGATATTAATTTACTGAATTCCTTATAAAGCTAGTTCATTCTGATGAGAATTTATGAATTATTTGACTTAAAAGTTTCATTATTTGGTATCGTTGAGTCAACTCAACCGGCCAACAGAATTATTTAAAATCAGTCTACAGCTGTCTGACAACTGCATTTAAATTAAACACACACTTTATATCTTGTTAGGTATTACCTGATAATTTGCAGCTATTGATGAATATACATATCTCTTTTTGACCATTTCCGTGAAGTATTATATAAATCAAATACTATCTAACTTCAGAAGATGTATTCGTTGTTACTTACCATGCTGAAATGGCTTTTTATAAGTTTCATTTTCATTCTTCATTTTCAGTACATCTACTTTTTCTTCTTCTTTTGTTGTTTCTGATGGAGAAAGGGCTGCAACAACAACAACAAAAAAACATAGCATATGAAAAATCAAAATATAGTATGTACACTTTAGTAAGAAAAAATAAATTCCAGTGAATTTTTGTTAAAATACAGTAGTCACTCTTCTGCTAAAATGAAGTTGTAGAACCCTTAACAAAATGGAAAAAGTAATTATATTTTAGTGGAAGAGAGGTATAACTATTGTATTATAATTTTTAGTGGAGAGAGAAAATTGTGGTAAGACTTGCTTTGATGGGTAGGCAGATGTGTTCCACTAGTTTGGAGTTTTTATTTTTGAGGGACAGTCTTTACCTTTCAGCTAAATGTTTTGGCTCACAATGTGCCATGTGTGTGTGGCATTCTGTTGTTTTACTCATCTATATGTAAAAGAAGACCTTAAAACACATTATGAATAATATAGGATCTTCCACCCCTTCCATAAATATGTTCTCTTTGGCAGGTGAATATATTTACTATGTATGATAGGATTTGTATAGATTGCAGTGAGGTTTTTAAAATACCATCAAAGTAAAAAGTTGATTGAAAATTGTTTGGCATTACATATGAAACTAAATTCTAGATTTTTTTTTTTACGACTGACACTGCTCCAATGCTGCCTGATGAACATTCAAATGTATAGGACCAGGTGGTGTGTATGTTTTTTTAATGCAACAACTTTTTTTTAAGTAATCAAAAGATTGATTACTATTACAACATTGTCAAACAGTTTCTGTTAACAAGATAAAAAAAACTGACACTGCTCGAATGCTGCCTGATGAACATTTGAATGTATAGAACCATGTTTGAATTTCTGGCTATCGGATGACCCTTCGAAAACAAATCTACTACTGAATGAGTACACATAGCCATATCACTTTACATATGTGTGCATATTGTAATATTTGTTGATTATGAGCTTTGTTGATTTAATTTTGAGAGCTGTTGTCCACTTTCTTGTTTGTTCACCTTTGAAATTGGCATTATTACAGACTTGGGTTACTCTTTCTCAACCAGAGTTGTTGATCTTATAAATCTAATTATAGGACTTAAAAATTGGAACTGGAACAGCTAGTAATTAGGGGCATATTAATGTTTAATTGAATATTACCTTCTTACAGGGTAGTAACTGGATTTTTCTCTTGTTAACAGAAACTGTTTGAATAGTAAACAATCTTTTGATTACTTAAAAAAAAAGTTGTTGCATTAAAAAAAACACACACACCACCAAAACATTATATGGTTAGGGGTGGAGAGGTAATAACATCCGCACTACTTCAATTATGTGTAGTGAATGTCTAGTGTACAAGGCATAAAGTCTATTTATTTTCTAACTAAAATGTTACTGTTAGTCTGTTCTGCTGTTTATTTATCATTTTCATTATCTATTCATATGGCTGATGTTTTCATTCAAGATGAATTTTTAATTAGTCAACAAACTTCTTAAAAGATATGACTGTTAACAACACTCTTGTGTTACTTTTTGTTATAGATGAAGGTCTGTATTTATTTTCTTATCAAACTATTAGTGCTGCTCTGGCCTGATTTGCTGTTTATTCATTATTATGTTTATTAGTTATGTTCAATTAATCAGCAATTTTATGTTAAAAACACTGAGCAGTAACCTGCTTTGAACAGTGACGTTAAATAAAGATCTGTTTTGCTTAAGCCAGCTGCAGTCATTTTAATAGGCTACAATAGTGTGCTCTTGCAATATGAGGTTACTGTATGTAGCTATAAGTATCACACACAGAAAATACATGTACATAAATATGTATTTTATACTTTTATATAAATATAAAAACATGATTACAGCTTTATAAACTTTTCAAATACATGTGAATGCTTTATCTAATATATATATATATATATATATATGGACTACCTAAAAAATAAGAGACTTTGGAATACAAACTAGTAGTTATTGTGACATCATCAGTTAATTATGCTAATTAGTACCATCAAAGGTTTAAACCTTCATTCAGTAATAGGTTCTGAACTTTTGTAAATCAAAATATACACTTCATTACAACTCTATTCAGTAGTAAACAAAATCCGTTAATATTTGCATAGGTAATAACTAATTTGCTCACATACTTTATAATTTTTGACAGCCAACATAAAGTTCTTATGTTTCAAGTATATCATGCACCCTATTCTGGCTTCTTTTTTTCTCCTAACCCTAAAAAGTCTGTTTAAGTTATCTACTCAAATGGCATTTCTCTTCACTAAGGTGTTCAATTTAAATAATTTATTAAAAAAGACAATATTTTACCTTTTTATTATGTTCAAATTTAGTTTATATCACAAAACTTTTTGGTGTACACATATAAGATTATAATTATACTTGGAGTAATCTAACTGACAATTATGTCTTAGCTGATCCACCTACACTGTTCATAAACAAGGTAAGGAACAACTTTCAATCTGCTTGTATCTAGTTAACTATAAGTATGTTCTATAAATAATTATCCACAGCCAATAATAAAGAAAGTACATTCTAACAGCAGGATTTCTTTTTACAATGCACAACTTAATTGATTATGATAGTGTAATTATAGATTTTTCTTCTCCCTAAGGAAATTGTTTATCTTCTAAAGCTTACTATTTTAGTTGTAAGATTTGCAACTGTTAAAGTTAAACCTAAGCATAGCAGGCCCGAAACAGTTATGTTCATTTCTCGCACAAGGAAATTGTTATTTGATATTTATACAACTCCATTTTTTTACTGGAGCAAAATGAGTATATACTTCTTTTTCTTCTCTAACTAAAAATTGATTCAGAATTTCCTTACGAGTAAAAACAGCAAGTGAAAGTGCATATGTAATAGAATAGAAACCTATTTAGAAAAAAAAAAAAAAAGAATGCTACAACTTTTTTTTGTTTTAAAGTTCAAATTAATCAAGCAAACATCTGTTGCTCATCTAATTTTCCCTTCTAAACAAATTGTTATTTCTTACCTTTTCTGTTGCTTTCTACAGGTGATGCTGAAGGTTTTCTCTTAGCTCCATCAGTATCTGGCGTCTTAGGCAGTATTTTACTATGTTTCCCTTTGGAAGCTGATTCAAATTGTGTTTGGCTTGATTCGTTGTCTGAAAGTCTCTCCTGAGTTTGTTTTTCCTTAGTCTTTTCAGAGGATTTCAATTGCTTCATTGATTCAACATCAGTTGACGGGGTTCTTGAACCAATCCTGCCCACTCTTTTAGTTGTTTCTATTTCAGCTGATGGAGTTTTTGATCCAATCTTGCCAACTACTTTAGGTGTTTCTATATCAGCCGATGGAGTTCTTGAACCAGTCTTGCCTACTCTTTTAGTTGTTTCTATTTCAGCTGATGGAGTTCTTGATCCAATCTTGCCAACTCCTTTAGGTGTTTCTATATCAGCCGATGGAGTTCTTGAACCAGTCTTGCCTACTCTTTTACTTTTGTCTGTATCAGCTGATGGAGTCCTTGAACTCATCTTGCCTGTTCTTTTAGTTGTTTCTATATCAGTTGATGAAGTTCTTGAACCAGTCTTGCCTACTCTTTTAGTTGTTTCTATTTCAGCTGATGGAGTTCTTGATCCAATCTTGCCTACCCCTTTAGTTGTTTCCATATCTGTTGATGGAGTCCTTGAACCAGTCTTGCCTACTCTTTTAGTTGTTTCTATTTCAGCTGATGGAGTTCTTAATCCAATCTTGCCAACTCCTTTAGTTGTTTCCACATCGGTTGATGGAGTCCTTGAACCAGTCTTGCCTACTCTTTTAGTTGTTTCTATTTCAGTTGATGGAGTTCTTAATCCAATCTTGCCTACCCCTTTAGTTGTTTCCACATCAGTTGATGGAGTCCTTGAACCGGTCTTGCCTACTCTTTTAGTTGTTTCTATTTCAGCTGATGGAGTTCTTAATCCAATCTTGCCAACTCCTTTAGTTGTTTCTATATCAGTTGATGGAGTCCTTGAACCAGTCTTGCCTGCTCTTTTAGTTGTTTCTATTTCAGCTGGTGGAGTTTTTGATCCATTCTTGCCAACTCCTTTAGTTGTTTCCACATCAGCTGATGGAGTTCTTGAACTAATCTTGCCTACCCCTTTAGTTGTTTTTCTTACGGGTGTTTCATTTCCAGAATCTTTTGAAGGGCTTCCTGAACGTGTTTTACTTGACCTAGCTTCTACTGGTGATGTTTTGAGACCACCTTGAGCAGATATGCCTTTTTTGGGAGATTGATCAACAACAGGATTTTTAACTATTTCAGCAAAACTCCTCCGTGCTGAAATCAAAATATTTGTTCTTGTAAAACAAAACACATTCTTCAATATTTACCAAAGTTATTTCACAATATATCATTTTTGCAACTGGTTACAATGTGTATAAAAGGAAAAATCAAACATTAATACACACACACGTATACACTGTGTGTGTAAACATAAACATTACCTAACCAGTTAATATTTATAGTGAAAAGAAATGACAGCATTACAAACAGTGAGATCAAACCTATGATGAAATAGAACATATTTATAATACAAAACAAGTCTTAACTAAACTGCTGCACAGCAAAACAAAGTCACAAGAACATACAGGCTATAATGTGGGGCATGAAGGTTTTGAAGGTTACTGTATAAATAGGACTTACATAGTCGTTGGTATATACCATCTATCAGTCTTAATCTCTATTCGCAAAGCCTCTCATCTAAAGAAAAAATAATAATAAACGACTTTGTATCTTTGTTTGTAGTTAAGCACAAAGCTACACAATGGGCTACCTGTGCTATGTCCACCACTGGTAATAAAACCTGATTTCTAGCACTAAATCCACAGATTTACTGCTGTGCCACTGGGGGTGAATAATAAAGAGGGAAATAAGAAAAAATAAAACAAAATAAGAGCAAGATGTGAGAGCTTAAGCCCATAGTGTCCCACATCTATATCATCCTTCACTATCTGTAGACAGTTGTGGGAAAGTGAGTGCTCTCAGAAGAAAAGAAGTAAAAAATAAATAAGAGAAGAGAAAGAAAAAGTCCTACCATTGGAGATGGTGAGTAAGAAAACCTTCCTAAAGTTGGCATCCCAGCCAGTTGTGGGTGTCACTAGTTTAGGCAACTTAATAGCGATTTTATTCTAGTATAATTTGTATGCTGTACCACTAATATTAGGTTATTAAATTGAGCTTTTACTACCATACAAGTTGAATAGCAGGTGAACCCCCGAATGTTTCATAATATAACATAGAGGCCTCCAATAAACTTGTTCCATTGACTGGTATACTTAGTGCATAATCTTGTTTAAATATTTTTCATTTTTTGGCCTTCATTATTTGTTTAGATAAACTGTATTCCTAATACATAACTTTGCATAGCTTTTATTTTTGCTTCATTTTGTTCTTTTCCATGATAGTCTTTCTCTTTCAATATTTTTTTGTGTTACAAACAGATAAGTTCTTTCTTATACTACTATATTTAACATTACAAAAATAGTGCTTTGTAAAGGTTTGGGGTTCAATCAAATTAATGCAAGAAACAAATAAGCATGCATATGCACACATCTTTATAAAATGTGTGGTAATTTAGAACATTACAATAGGAAAATAATGTCACTAATAAAATAAAAAATGCACTACAGCAGTGCTTCCCAAGTGCCGGTCTGCGGACCAGTACTGGTCCTTGAATTAATTTCTACTGGTCCGCAACATTGACTGTTGAAAGCACTGACACTTATTTACGTTTTTTTTCAATATTTGAAGACTAAAAGTTCTTTTTTCAGAAAATTCTTTTGGTATTTTACTAGTTTGCCAAAAATCTGGGAACCACTAAAGTATAGTAACCAAGTTTTACTTTAACAATAATACAGAAAAAATAGTCAAAACAGACAATTAGAAAATACATTTTTGTTAAGTAATAATGCTCTGAAACAATATACATTTAACAAAATTACTGGAGTGGAAAAGATCATACCTAGAACTTGGCAAATATATTGATTAATCAATATAATTGATCACCTATGAACATCAGTTACATCCATTAGTGTGAGGTTAAATAAGCAGTTAATCAAAATTAAGATTAAAATAATTAATGTTATGAAAATAATCAACCAATCAAAATTAGTTTCCAACTATCAAATGATCTAAATTATAACAGTATTCATGCAAATAATCAACTAATCAGAATCAACTGTTTCAATTATTACTGTTTATGATTATCCAAGAATTGAAATTAAGATTAAGTCAACTGTCACACAAATAATCAACTAATAGAACTTGTGGTTTTCAATTATTCCAACTATCCAGGTAACTGAAATAATGGGGAGGTGTTTCATGATTTGAAGGTCTTGGGTTCGATTCCCATCATCAGTAAACTTGATCACTCTTTCTTTGTTATTACAACACTATTAAGGCTACCTGCCACTGTCATTCACTTTAAACTATTGATTTGAGGAAAGATAACTGGCTACCAAACCCATTAAAGACTGGACTATTTAATGTTATATAAGTAGACACAGATCTACAAGGTGCAGATCTCCAATCTCCATTTCTTCAGAAATTGATATAAAGTCAGACATCCTTTCACAATCATATAGAATCAGAAAGAAGCATTAGATATCAGTGTTTATTGGTTTATTAATCACAACAAAAGCTTTTTTTTTAGGTTTTCTGAAATCAAAACAGCTGGAGTCTACAGCAATCCAGTTAAAGCCTCACCCAATAACTAATTATTTTTAGGCTAATACAACTATGTGAATGTCAATTAAATGTTTCCATGGTACATTTTCATGCCTTGGCTTTTTCAAAACACATCACCAATGTGTCTAGACTTTAAATATTTGTTTTAATCAAAATTAGTATTACTAGCAATAATGCCGTCCCTATGGGCAGCTGTTTGTGCTAGTAATTAATAATCGTAGTATTTATACCTCATTAAAAAAAATTTAGAAAAAAAAATAGTAAACAATGTCTAAAAAAAAGGACTTTTTTTGGGAAGTACTGCACAGGAAAAGTACTTATAATCTTTAACAGAATCTCACCAACTTTTATAAAGATACATTAAGAAAACTCAGAGTTATCATAAATATTGTTGCACCGCATATCATTCTCCATACAAACTATGCTCATTGGGTTTTGCCCCGTCTCCATAAGGTTAATTCTCTCTGTTTCTAAGGTATAAATGTAAATTTTCTCACATTTTCATTCATTATCAGTATCTATAAACACAGTTTTGTCATGATTTCAAAGATAGCAAGCACTACAGCGAACACACAATTAGAGATTATTGGGACACTCTAACATTCTTGTCATCAAAGGGTTACTTTGACTGCAGTATTGCAAAAGTCTAGGCGTGTATTATTTATGGTGATAAAGCAGATTTGACTCTTTGTGCAGATTAGTGTATGTATTATGTTTGAGAGCATATTATATGCAGAAAATTACAGTACTAATCTATCAGTGAGCTCTTCGATTAATCAATTATCAAATACCACTACTGATTAATCATTCAGCCCTACTCCTGTTCTTAAAATTACTAATATAGTTCATACTGTGAATACCTGACCCACTAAGAAAACAAGAAAATTAGTTTTTTAGTTTGCCAATTCATGTGAATGAAAGTTAAGTTAATTCAAACAAAATAATGTTGTGTTACTAATTCTTACTTAAATATCTGACTTTAAAAGTGAATTAAATAAAATTGATAGTAATTACAATTCTCTTGCTTAAGCTGATTCATATCCTAACAGTTGTTGTTCATGTAAACTGATGATGCATATAATACCTACACCACTATTATACTTATTGTATCCCAGCCAGTCTGATGAGCCCTATTATTGGGTAATGTAAGTAGCAAATGTAGTACAGTTGCCATATAACACATTATTTTTTGCTTTTATTCATGGGTTCTTAGAATTGGTATAGTCTACAATAAAAAACACAGATTTTCAAAAAAGCTTAATATTTAC